GTTTGAATAAAATCCTGTTCAATCTCAGCAAAGAGTACTTTGGAAATGTTAGTCTGTTATTCTTTAAACAAAGTTCAACGGCTATTAACAGAGTACTTGTTTATGATCTTCTATAAATATTATGTTTCTGTACTTCTTTGAAAATGTGGACATTTTAATTTCATTTTTATTTTAGTAAAAACTGTAAAATTATGACTCACCAGCTGCAGAGTGCCAAGACAGGATATTTCTCAATATATGGGGCAAACAACATTTTTATGTATTTTTGTTACCAATCATATAAAACCAAGCTTATTTTTATAAATGGCTCCATAGGCCTGCTCCATAAAAGTTGCATATAATTTTATCCCAGTTTTCAGGGTTTTTGGTGCCCATTACCTAGGAAATATAAACTCTCATGTTCCTGAGCAAAATAGAAATTTTAGCAATCAGTGAAACCCACTCATTTTCATGAACAAGTGGCCACCTTTCCTATACTCAGCCAAGCTCTCACAAGCAGAAGAAAAAGTTGAACTGTATGGAAAAAAAAGGGAGCACATGGTACTATGAGGTCTCAGTACAACAGTTTAAAAAGGAAGTTGCAAAATTAGCAAAGGGCAAGCAGTGATATTATATTTCTTACTCCTTAAGTGTCTGTTTTGGTGGCATAACCACACAGATATCACCACTTATCTCTAAATCATCCAGACAAATGCATGCTTTAAGAAGGGTTCAAGCTTCATTACATTACCGTGTTTATAAAGCTTGCTGTAATAATGTCCATAGTGCATAATGCATCTCTGGAGCATTGAATGCACTTTACCAAAAGGAATTATATTGAGCTATTTCTATAATTGATATGGGGATTTTAAGGGGCAGTTTAATCCCAAAATGTGTATTTTGCAAAGGCCTAAATCTCTCCCTTACAATTACTGCTATTAAAGGTTTAGATTTAAATACAAATAGAAAGAGTTGTAGCACTAGTTTTCCTTTTTTCAGTTGTTTCAAAACCTTTCAGTGAATCTCCTCAAAACTGAGATAAAACTGAATGTAGATTTTATGTTTTATGATCCATTAATGCACTGAAGTTTCACATTTGTTTTTACTATTATTTGGAATATAGTTCAATGACATATCTATTGCAATACCAAACATTTTTATACCACATGGACTTTAGATAGCTGGTCTCCAAATTGTAGGAAGATGTAGTGCCAGTTTCCCTGGGAAGGAAAACTGAATCCACACTGCTTAAATAAGAAGAAAAGAGTGCATGCAAGATTTTGTTCAAAAGAATAAGCAATGTGTATAGTTTTTTTGAAATGAAGTTTGTGTATTTTGATCCAACTTGTTCCTAAATAGTTTTAAGGCAAAATGTGAAATCCACAGAACCTCAAATCTAACTTGAGTAGAAGACAAACCAAATCTGTAGGAAGTGTTTTCTTAAATGCTAAGAGCATGAGAAAAACAGGAAACCTGTAAAAGTAGTAATGAGTTTGATGCAAGTAACTAAGAAATTAAACATAAATAAGGAATTTGCCTTTGGAGAAAAAAAAAAGAAAAGAAGAGGTTTACTTTAAAAGTTGAGTGGCTTTTATCTTCTCTATGGATATCCATTGGTAGCTATATCCCTAAAGAGGCACAATTTAAGGAAAGTGAAACACTCAAACATGGAAGCATGTGTAACATCAGCACCTGTTGTAGGACAGAACATATCTTTACATATCTTTAACTAGCAATTAGCAACAGCCAATAAGATGCAAAGAGTGATTTGGAAGTTTATCTTATTGGTATTAGCCAAAGGGAGCTGAGCCAAAGGTAGGATAACTGCTGAAGGCCCACAGTTAAAAAGAGATACTATCTGATCAAAGGAACACAAAAACTACAAAAATATTGGAAGTTTGGACAGGTTTAGCAAGACAAAAGAGAGTTGGATTAGACAGGAAGAGCCTGATTATAAATCACAAACAGTGTATGAGAGGAGATTAAACTAAAACCACTGCTGCTAACATTGAATAAAAGATAGCAAATGATCTGAGAAGAGATAAAGTCAAGGGGATGTGAGGTGCTCACATTTATGCTGAAGGACTGTAGCTGCACAAAGTGAGAAATGACCATCAATAACAGGACCACACATGATGAAGTGCTCTTTGAAGATAGAAAAGATCATATAACTGGCAGAAGTCAGTGATTTCAGAATATTTCAGAATATTTAAGGTTGGAAGGGACCTCTAGAGATCATCTAGTCCAACCTTCCAGCTCAAGCAGGCACACCTACAGCATGTGGCACAGGGTGGCATCCAGGCGGGTTTTGAAGACCTCCAGAGTAGGAGACTCCACAACCTCCCTGGGCAGCCTGTTCCACTGCTCTGTTACCCTAACAGTAAAGAAGTTGCTCCTCACCTGGAGACGGAACTTCTTATGCTTCAGTTTGTGGCCATTACCCCTCATCCTATCGCTGGCCACCAGTGAGAACAGCCTGTCCCCTTCCTCCCTGCATTCTCCCTTCCTGAACTTATACATATTAATCATATCCCCTCTGAGCCGTCTCTTCTCCAGAGAAAACAGGCCCAGCTCACTCAGCCTCTCTTCATACGAGAGATGTTCCATTCCCTTAATCATCCTGGTTGCCCTTCTCTGGACCCTCTCGAGAAGCTCCACGTCCTTCCTATACTGGGGTGCCCAGAACTGAACACAGTACTCCAGGTGCGGTCTCACCAGAGCTGATGCAGTTTAAAGTCATCTGTCAACCAGACACTGGGAAGATGCATGGGCATTGAAAGAGTCTCATGAACATGAGAGGGGTAGTAAGATGATGGCTTCATACCCTGTGTCATGAGCCACTTCTGAGGGAGACAGAGGGTTTGTCATTATGTCAGAAAAACACAACTATTTGGTGCAACCTTGGGAAATCATTAGTACAACCTCCTGCTCAAAGCAGGGTCAACTGCAAGATCAGACCAGGTTGTTGAGGGCCTTATCATTTGTATCCTGAAAGCCTCCAAAGCAAACCACATCCATTTCATCTCACACAATTTACAATAAACTGGGAATTTATTTACTTCTGAGATAAAAATAATTTTGAGACATTCTATTCTGAGTATAGAGTATTCACCTAATAGGTCTTTTCCTAACAGCTGCAGAGCATAGCTGTTTCTGGCAGCCCCTGCCAGCTGATACTAGGTTATTTTGCAAGCCTGATATGATAGAAAATTGGGCTTTGTGAAGTAGAAGGTGTACAAATGTTTTCTTTTTTTTCCCCTCTTTTTTTCTTAGATTAGAAAAACAGGATGTGAAAGGAATGAAGTTCAGACACTACCAAAACAAAATTAAGAGACCTCTTTGCAGTTCATGAGGTGACCATTCACAGGCGCTGAGTAATTTATGGTTATTCCACAGTACTGTATAAGATTAGTTCAAGTTACATTAAGCTGTAGTGCTTGAATCTCACTCTGGATAATCTGACAGCCAGCTCTGGGACTAATCTTGGTGCGCTAACAAATGAAATATGTTTTTTTTCTTTCCCCCATTTTTTTTTTCTGTTGGATTAAGTTACAGTGTTGTCTTTTAAATAATGATCAAAAATATTTCCTGGGCATATGGTGTTACTGGAGTTTTCAACGGGCTTTTTCCCACTTGCAGACTTTTTTTGTTGTTATTTCACTTTATATATTACATACTTTTCTAGGAGTCTTACTCATTTTAAAGCCCATTATCAAAACAAGATTCAAACAAGTGGGAACATGTAAAAATCTGTTCACAATTAACTTGTTCAATCTGAAACCTGATTTTGATTCAGATTGTTTGTACTCATTGTTCAGATTTCAGGCAACTGCGAAAGTCAGCTTAGGTGAAATTCTCTGTGCAATGAGGAAAAGGCACAAGTACCATTCAAAATTATGCAGAACTATAGAAAAGATTTAATTTTGGCAGCAATTGCATTTATGTTGGATTATGCATTAATATAAACTTATTATATTAGGTTTATATAAAGGTTAATCATGTCCAACTGAGGAAAAGTACTGTCTTGTGATTCAAAACAATAATCACATAACACATAAAAGGAAATGTCTCATGTAAAACAATGCAAATAACAATCCATATGTCAAATAAGATGTGCAAAACTACCATATGAGTACAGAATTTATAAATTAAGGAGTAAAATTACAAACAAAGCTTGTAGGCAATATATATAAGATGCTAATTTTTTCTTTAAATATTAGCATCCAACTTTCAGGTATTATTGACATGAAGAAACCCCCATCAACTGCCTTTACTTTTCAGAATCAGAGATTTCTATTATTAAAGAGCTCCAATTTCCGTGTTTGTGAAGGATTTGTGCAGAATCACTTACTTCCTGAAAGTAGAAAGCTGCTCAGTGTCCGTCTTAAGAATATGATCTGATATGATTTGGATTAGATGATTAATAGTGTTTTTTTCTCACTTTTTTTTTTCCCTGGAGCCAAATTTAATAAACTTATTGAGTAATTGAGTAACTTATTGAGTATCTTATTGCTGTAATTTTCTGTACTAGTGAATTCTAAACAATCTGCATATGGTAGACCTTTTCTTGTTTTTATTTTTCAGCTTAATATTTACTGAATACTTCCAATATGTTGGGTTTAAGAGATTTTTATTTTATGTGGCATATTTTAAGCAGTAGAGGTAATATTCAAGTTGTTTGAGAAGGATATTCTGTTTGATCGAGAACATCTGTTTGTTCTCCAGCTGTGCAACTGCAGTCATCCAGAAATCTCGATTCCAATCATTTTCGTTTTACAGACTATAATTAAAACTCAAGAATGAGAAAGAGAAATGGGGAAATATAGTTTGCTTGGAGGAGAGAAAGCTTTTTCCAAGACGAGATAAATCTTGTGATTGTTCTAGCAACTGGCCTGCTATTTCATGCCTGGAGGCTAAATATTTCCATAGATTGAGAAATTAATTATTTATTTTATGCAGTCATACTTACTCTTCTTCTTAATGTCTCCCAGGTTCAAGAAAATGGCATTTGTTGGCTCTTCTCAGCCTGCAGAAACCGAATACTTTCCATTGGAAAATATATTTTCACAATAAGTGACTATTTTTGTACCTGAGGAACGTCTGCCTCTAACGACTCCACAAGGTCAGTCAACAAAGTGTTGCCTTCTCACAGTCTGAGGCAGCTTTGAATGCTGCTTTAGAAACAAATAGCTGCACTTGTTAAAATTTTGCATTTAAAAAATAGACTTCCTCTCTGATTCCAGTCTCCCAGTTTCTCTCTGATTCCACAAATTTCTGTGTGGCAGTAGTTGCTCTGGGGGATTTTCTTTTGTCCAGCTATGAACAATGCATGCTTTACTCATCATTTTAACTATTGCTGGGTGGCCTGGAGGAATATGTAAAAAATGTGATGTAAAATCGATGTAAAAATTGATAGATTTGGAAATTGATGTAATTTTTCCTTTTTTAACTCAATGCATTAAATTTCTTTGAATAAGAAAAACTGAAATGGCACATGTTAGTTGATAGTTATTTGCACTGTACCACTTCTAAAGAGGGAGTTTTATGAATTGAAATTATTATTTTTTACTAAATCCTAGGCTGTACTCATCTGTGAAGCAACGGTGTCCAAAGAGGTGGAATCTATTTCATAGATTCTTGGTCTATCTTCTTTGCACCTTGTCCATTTATTTCTCTTTAGCCTTCATTTCTGTCTTTCCTCTGGGATTCTAACAGTTTTTTATTTTCTTTCACATATATATGCATATGCATATTTTAGTTTTGTATTGAGCACAATGAGTAATTTGTCATCTCTATGCTTCACTCTTCCATGGATGAAAATTCAGAAACTGTATAAGAATAAGCTGTAACCAACCATATCACTACTTGAGACTTTTTTATGCCTTATTCTCTGCAATGAGAAAAAAATGCAATACTGTAATCCTTCCACCAGTTATTATTACATCATGGAATTCAAAGCCTCCTTTTGTCCCCAGATAATATTCCCCAGCAAGTACTACTAACTTCTTTTGAATTGGAGGAAAAATAGAATCAAATAAATAATCCTGCAGGGTCAGAAAAGAACCTCCATAATTTTTCTTTTTCTGTTGGATGACTCTGTCCTTTCCAGTGTGGTTTTGAACGAGTTTGTAAATAAGAATATTTAAACTCTTCCTCTGCTATCCTTTATTAAAAGTCCTTGAACAAAAATACCCTTTTAAATCAACAGAAGTGTTCAGTAAAGTGTAATTTTGAAACAGTGTCCTCATATTCTTCAAGCACATGTTACAAGGAAATGTGTCCGTTATAAAACTACTCTGTGGTAAGTTGTTATCCATAGTAAACAAGTCAAACAAATTGATAGTATCATAAGATTACGGAGAAGGCAAGTCTATGTGGTGATTTATGAACAGGAGTCTTGTATGCAAGTTCTGTAACAAATTTTGTGCATGGTATTGTTATATTGTCAGCTGGAGTATAGTGGCTTGGCTTTGGCACTATAATTCAAGAGTGATATGGACCCATTAGGACAATCCAAAGAGCAACAAACAGCATCTTAGTACCAGGAAACCCTGAGGGAACTAAGGTTCCTTAACTTCAGGAGGAGAAGTAACTCTAATAGTATTTGAATAAATAAATAGAAATTATAAAAGGGAAGTGATTAAATTCTGCATATTTGGAGTGGGTGGGACAAAACACAACACAATGGATTTATAGGACAGAAAGTTTAGAAGAAATATCAGGAGAAATTTTCCAATAGTAAAGATAGAGAAAAACCAGAAAAAATTGCCTGAAGAGAAGATGTGATATGCATTCCCAATGGAGGCTTTTCTGAAGGGGCAAACAGGAATCCGCTTAAGATGGCAGAGGCGTACTTGATATGCTTCCTGAAGTCTCTTCCAGGCCTAATTTACACAGTTTCTGATGATACAGCTCATATTTGCTATGTGGCCTCTGCTGGTATTCTAGTTTTTATAAGAGCCAATACTTCCTTGAGCTTGACTCTTTAATCAAATGTGAGACTAATCTTTTGTGTCTAGCAGAAACTACATAAGTCCACTGTTTTTGTTTTCTGGTTTTAACTATTTATCTATGTTTTAGAAAATATAATAGTTATAGATGGTGATCGTTTGTTTCCTGGAAAGCATAACTCTGCTACTGTATCAAAGCTGACTCAGCAACTCACATCTGGTTCTAATGTGCTCCTGTGAAACGAAGTGGGCACATAATGATCTGTCTTAACAGCATGCAGCTCGCACAGATTGTGACCCAAAGAATCCTATTTTTTGGAGCACATTTATTTTGACTGCTCTTCCCAATGCTCAGAAGTTAGTATGGTTGAGAAGTATTTCTGTGACATCAAAAATATAGAAGATGATAGGCATTTTCCTGTTCTCTCAGGAATATTGTTCCTTAGAAGGGGGGAATTTCAATGATGTAAAACGCTGGAATGAAAAACTATTTTCATAGGAAAATTTCCAAGAAACAAACGTCCCTTAAATATGAATACATATGACTTCATACATATAATTTCAGAACTCTTCAGATCTTCCAAAGTCCACATTTCAAGAATGACAGTAGTCTGAAAAGTATCTCAGTAAAAAGCGCATTATGAAGGTCTATGTTTATTGTATCTTCATGCTTTCTCTATCTAGAGTGTACTATTTACCTTGGCAGATATTCCAGGAACTCAGCCTGAAATCAGAGAGGTAAACTTGTGGGGCTGAGTCACAGTCACAGAACTACAGGGTAATTCAGCTTGGAAGAGACCTCTCAAGGACTCTACATTTGAAGCTTCCAGTTCAACCTCTGGCTTAAAGCAGGGTCAGCTGTGAGATCAGACCAGGTTGCTCAGGTGGTTCCTGAAAACCTCCAAAAGACAAAGCTTGCACAGCCTCTCTGGGAAGTCTGTTTTGCTGCTGCTTCCTCTTCATGGGGATTTTTCCTTATATCCAGGCAGAACTTGCCTTGTTCCAAGTATGACCACTGTCTTTTACTGGGAGTAAGAGTCTCACTGACCACTCACCAGCCAAGAGGAAGAAACTGGCTCCATCTTCCCAATAACCTCCTTGTATGTTTGACAGGGGGAGTGTGGGACAGTCCCTTCAGGGACATCTCCATTCCAGACTGAAATAGCCCAGGTCTCTCAACATTGTCCTCCGAGAGCAAGTTTTCCAGTCTGACCATTATGGCTGTCTTCTGTTGGATGTATCATCTCAGACTATTAACACATTCTTTGTACTAGGGAGCCCCAAAGTTTTTGCAACTTCCAAATGCAAGCTAATGAGCCCGGAAAGCACGGAGATAATCACAGAATCACAGAACAGTTGAGGTTGGAAGGGACCTCTAGAGATCATCTAGCCTACCTCCCTTGCTCCAGCAGGGACACCCAGAGCACAGGGCACAGGGTGGCATCCAGTCATATGTTGAAGACCTCCAGAGAAGGAGACTTCACAACCTCCCTGGGCAGCCTGTGCCAGGGCTCTGTCACCCTCACAGGAATGTTCTCCCTCATAATGAGATGGAACTGCCTGTGTTTCAACTTGTACCCATTACCCCTTGTCCTATCACTGGCCACCACCAAGAAGAGTTTGGCTCCCTCCTCCCTACATTCTCCCCTCAGGTAGTTATCACATCTCCTCTCAGTCTTCTGTAGGCTAAACAGGCCCAGCTTGCTTAGTCCTCATAAGATAGATGCTCCCATCCCTTAATCATCTTTATTGCCCTCTGCTGGATCCTCTCTAGAAGCTCCACATCCCTCTTGTCCTGGGGAGCCCAGAACTGCCCCCAGTACTTCAGGTGCAGCCCCACCAGAGCTGAGGAGAGGGGCAGGATCCCCTCCCTTGACCTGCTGGCAACACTCCTCCTGATGCAGCCAGGATCCCCTTGGCGTTCTTGGCCACGAGGTCACACTGCTGACTCATGGCTAACTTGTGGTCCACCAGGACTCCCAGATTCCACTCTATGGAGCTGCTTTCCAGCAGGTCAGTCTCTAATCTGTACTGAAACCTCTAATTTGTACTGAATCAGTGCCCTAAATCTACTGTCCCTGCTCCTGTATACAGCCTAGCATCCCTGGATTGTGGTCTGTAACACAATTTATTTTACACATCATCAAAAGGAATATAGCCTAATTTTGCATGCTAAATTATGTCCTTTGCCACTGTATTGCAACTTAGAGTCACAATTTAACAATGGTAATTTCTTAAAATTTGGTAATGAATTGTGCTTATGATGCTCACAAACCTTGAGCCCAACTCTCACACTTACAGCAGGGGAAACCCAGTAATGGTACTAGGAAAATATATCAGGAAGAAAGATTATTTTGTGACTAAGATAACAATCTGATACAGTAAGTATAGATATTGAAGAAAATAAAGGACTTTAAAGAAGTCCTTTAGATCTTCCCAAGAGAGACTCAGCTGAATTTAAAGCAAGTTACTTCTCAAAAATAAATTAGCAATAATCCAACATACACCCAGAGAGCCATTTTTATTTTAGAGGGCAGCAGTCTCAGAAAGAATGAAAAATGCTTCATCCAATTTCAGCGATAAAATCCACCAATAATGAATCTTTTCTTTATGGACCTCTCTCTGGAATCCTCTGGTTCTGCAGGGCACCTAAAGGTAAAAGGATGCACATTGGCCTTTTGAGAAAAAAATCAATGCTAATTCATTTCTAAAGGAAAAAGTTATCACTGTGGGAGGCAGAAAATGCTTAAGGACATCAGGAAAAGACGGAAGCAGAGAAAATTACTCATTATTGGCCAGTTTGCTTCAGTTTGCATACTGCAATTTGGACATACTTACTGGTTGTGGCACTTTTGAATTTGATTTTGAACTTTGATCATGTCTATCTATACTGTTTCTGTGCCACTGAGTGGAGGACATAGGCACCCAGACTCTCAGTGTGTGTCTGGGAGTCCAAAGCAGCAGCACTGGCATTTTTAAGGGCAGACTGGTTTTCTACATGAAGCCTGGGCAGACAGCTAGTTGCTTACCTTGCCATAACAAACTGTACTCATATGCCTGTGTTTGGACAAATGCTTATGAGTGCTACTGAGTGTGTACAAATTTAGAAGATGTTTATTAAAATACTAGACCCAAATTGTTGTCTTAAATGCAGCAATGGCAGCCTCACAAA